TATATATATATAATATACTTAAGAAACAAGAAATTTGAGTTCGATATTCAATTAACAACTTATATGCTTTTAGGTTACATCAACGTTATTATTGCTCATCTTTGTATGCAGTACATCATGCTTGAAAAATGATCGAAGTGAAGCATCCTTCGATAACGGTGCAAATATTATTCGGCGCAATCGAAGGGACGGATTAAACGAATATTTAGTCCCACCCCCAAGACCAAAAGCTTATCCGGTGAGGTCTGGGAAAGTAGTAAATCCTTCGGTAACGGAAGCTCCAGGATATTTTTCGCAATTGATGAGTTGGTTAAATCCTTTTAATTATGGTTCTTCGACTTCGACGCCTCTAAAGACTCCAGCAGACTTCGAATCATCATCTCAACATTACGGTCCTCCACCATTTAATTTGCATCTTGCGTTGCAACCTGAACCATTTCTTCATCCTCCGCTTGAACCTCAAGCTGGTCCACCTATATATCCTCCTATCGGCACACCTCCATCTCAACATTCTAGCTTATCTCTTGCACCTTCCTTCAATGTACGTTCCGCTCCGCCTTTTCGCCTTCCTGCTGGTCCATCTTTACAAGTTTACAATCCCTCAATTACCTTCCACGATACGCAACGTGATTTCCCGAGTCCGAAAAATAGCCGTGGCCTTTACATACCGCCGAATAAAGGGAAACACTGTAATCTTTGTAACAAAATCCCATGGATTCCAATGCAAGATGACGGACATCATTCAGAGAAATATCCGTCTCGTCAGCAACTTTCAAATGGTTATCTTCCTCCTAGCAATCAAGGGAATCACGACATCCAATACGCGGCCTCGCATGAAATCAGAATATCAGAACTTTCCCGAATACCCGTTGAGCAAAATCCTTTTAACAACGCATTACCACATGCAGTGTTGCATTCCGATTCGATACCTCCTCTCTACAAGACAGAACCTTTTAAAAACCCTTTTGCAATTGAAAATCTTGAGCACCTGAAACCACCTCCTTTGCCTGTAACATCGTTAGCTAATCAAGAACACAAAAGTCCTGAAATTAACGGTGAGCATTATAATGCCAATGGCAATGACGATCTAAGATCCATTGGAACAGAAGTTAATCAAAGACATGTAAGCGCCATATCCCAAGAGCATGATATGAAAATCAACGAAGAACCTCCAGATCACGAAGAATCATTTGGTAGTTCGATTGCCGATATTAGGTTTCCTGTCCTGTCCGAGACATCTTTTAATAATTTGCCAATTTTGAAACAAGGAAATGATGGAGTTTCAAACAAGCCTGTATACCATAATCAGGATATCCTTAATTTTGATTCGTCAAATCACGAGTACCATGAACCTTTAAATTCAAACTCAAGTCCCAACACTGATTTGGATCATCCACCGCCAGATTTGAATCCTTCGGCTAGCTTTGGAACGTCCACGTTCCATAATCAAGAAAGTGATAGTCTGAATTATCAGTATTTTGATGATTTGCCTCTTAGCGGTAAAGATTCTCAAGTGACCACGCAACCGTCCCTCGTGAGCTCTTTTACTCCGGAAAGAGAACCAATACACTTTGAAGAATCGCCGCTGTTAGATCTGACAAAGAAAGGTGATAATCAAACTGAGACGCAATGGCCAACTTCCACTAACGGGTATATCGACATCGATGATATATCTGATAATACAGCGAAAACAACTACGGATTATAATTTGGAGACCGACAATATATTTTTTGAAGATTCGTCCAGGTCGACCGAATCTTATTCTTCTTCAGATATTCAAAATATTAACAATGTTTTCGGGCCTTCGACATCTATAACTGTGGATTTCTCGAATGTTAATCAACACGTTGAATCATCAACGAGTAATAGAGGATATGCAAATCAACAAGATGTCTCGTATATTCCACCATCCGGACAACCAGGATATTTGTGGCCAAGTTTATTAATAAACACATCAAATTTGAGAAATGATTCTTCAAAAAATCATGTTGCGCAATGGAATAATTCTTTCCCGGGAGATATAAATTCTGAAAAGCAAAATGATGTAAATTCAAAGGATGCAAGAGACACGCTTCAAAGGCAACAAAATATAAAACGAAATAAACAAGTAAGTAAAATTATTCGTGTAAATATAGTATGATATTATACGAAATTTAAATATAATGAAAAATTCAGAATTTGATTATTTACAAATAACGTAAAACATTTACTTGCTTACAGTTACGAAAAAGTATCTTACATGTAATTAGCAATTTCTATTGAAATTTTATTTCA